TGCTTACAGGAAAAAAAATCCTATTGGGTTTGATGATTCTTTTTTTTATTATTCATGGAATGAAAGTCCTAATAAAGCTCCCTAGATATGATCTATCAAATTAAAATAACTCATATGAATAGCAGCTAAGTCGCAGTAAAAACCAGGAATTAAATAGATGTTTGCAGAACCAGATAAATCTAAAAATGGAAGCAACTCTTGTCATCATGCAAGCATTTTGCATATCCTTACTGTCTCTAAACACCATGGAGTCCTTTTTTCCCCTCAGCATCAATTAAAAACAATTGCTTTGCTTGGTTGCCTAGACCATACATAGTGTTTGGCTTTGCATTTGAATTCTCTCCCTCTGGTGATGGTGTAATATCAATGACCCTGTGAAGGTTACTGAGTTACCTTTGTTTTATAATGGGTGGTATCATTGAACTCTTTTATTGTAGTGATATGAAAAAGATGTCACTGGTAATAGGGTTGACATGATTCCCTCTTTTCCCTCACTTCTAGAGCATGTATGCCAGATCAAACCCTTCCCTCTCCCTCTTCCCTTCTATAAACCTTATGATGCTGCAGATCTGATTTCAACATTAAATGAGGTTACTCAGAGCCTTGTGTAGTCAACGTCTGAAACCACCCAAGGGTGGAGATACCACGGCCTCCAAGCCAAGTCTTCTACTGATGTCTCAAAACTGTACATAGCATTCCAGGTGTTGACTCTGTTTCAGAGGGATATTCCTTTTACTTTACCTTTGTAAATTTATATAAATGTTTGTTGGTTTTATATGTTTGTATTCCCATTTTATATAAATATGAACAGATTGAAGTGATTATTCACCTCTACTCTGTATATATATAATTATGTAGAAATATATGAAATATATATATTTCATTTTATGGTATCTATGTTTTTGTATGTATGAATGTGCATAGGTACATACACACATATTTCAAAACAGGTATTTGAAAGGGATTTGCCATCCTGGATGTAGGTACAGATTTGAGGGAAGAGTATAACTGAGCCTGCTGCAGCTGCCTGATCAACAGCCATTTGTGTTTATCCAGCACATACAGGCAAATACACATGGAGCAAGTAAAGATAATACTTTTCAAAGTTCCTGGATGGTGAGAACTTACTTGAAAGAGTTGCAGGTTTATTGCATAGACAGATTTGTTGCTTTGCTTAGAAACATTGTTTTCCTGTGTTGTTTGATTAAAATATTTTCACAGAATCATTTAGGTTGGAAAAGACCTCTGAAATCCTCAAGTTCAACCTTTGACCCATCACCACCTTGATTTGCTTTTGTTCATTTGAATATTTTCAAATTATAAAAGATGATGCATTTTTTACTTCTTGTGTTCAAGATCCGAATGAATCACGATAAACCACTACCAGTGTTCACAAATACATCTGTTTCTTATCTTGATTAGTACAAAAAAAGGAAATATTTGTAAGAATAATGTTTGATTCATGCTTATTAAACTGTTTATAATGTGCTGACTCAGTGACTGAGAGGAGACCAATCCCCAGGGAAAGCACCAAATTTAGTCTAATGTGTGCAAATAATGGATTTGCATTAACACTTGCTCCATGTTCAGGATTTAATTCCTGCAAATGATCCCTGTACTGTTACTCTTAACATGGGTTTGCTTTTTACTGTCTAAAGTCAAATTTTTCTCCTTGTCCAGCTACTGCTTTGGCAATGTAAAGGGCCCCTTTTCCCTTCGGTAGCCTTTAGGTACCTCAAGACTAAAAGACTGGGTAAAGAATCATGTTTCACTATCTCCAGAGATGCTTCTGAAGCTAGATTGTGGGGAAGTACCATGTATAGGATTCATGCCTCCTGCAGTAGAAAATAAGGTCCTTTGGGTTGCTGAGATGCAGTTTAAGGATGTCCTTGCACCTAAATTCCTATTTATAAGTCTCTCTGCTCTTTGCATACTCCTGGTTGTCTCGGCCTTAGTCTGCAATACAGTCTTAGGCAGTACAGTTATGAGTGACTCCAGAGCTGCGTTTCAAGCCAAATTTGCAAATCATCCAGACTGTTGACCATCTGGAACAGATCCTGGCTGGCTCTGAAGCAGTCCAGCTGGTACTCAGGCACTCCCTGGACCGCTTTGTGGACAGGCTCAGGCGTTGTGTGCCCAGCCCAGCTGCTGCCCTGTATTCCAGCTATCCTTGCATTAGTGTCACATATCGTGATACAAGATAGCTTGGACTCCTTCCTAAATGGGGCCAGGCGTTCTCTTCCAGAAGAGAAGATGACATTTGAACACAATCTGAATTCAAGCCAACTTTTTGCTGTTCACAGAAATATAGCTTAGTCCGTGGGTAAGGTACAGTATAGACACATCCTGTAGGCCTCAGATCCCCATAAATACCACAAGGAAAGATATTTCTCCGTCATATAAAGGTGTTGTCAGGATACAGACATGCTGCTTTTTGAAATGCCTAGGTAGCGCTGTTTTGAGGAATGTACCAAAGACAGATTTTTTTATTTTTGTAGCTGGAGTGGGATTTATATGGGTAAATGGATAGTTTTTATCTGAGTCTAATCTAAGCTGGTCATCCACAGTTATCTACAGTTGGTTAAAAAAACAAAAAGTACTTTTAGGCCATAATTCTTCTGACCTGGTCAGGTATTGGCTTTAGGAGAAGAACTAGCCTAGATCATGTCCTGAGATGCAAGTGGATGGCTAGCTCAGAAATGGACAATTATAGTACAGCACAGTAATGACAGCCCATGTGTATTCAGACAAGTTAGTTGTGTATATAGCTTCATTTTGATAAAATTATAGGGAAAGCAGTAAATGGTTTACAGAAATCCAAAATACTGGCTGGTGTTTACATACAAAAGCCTGAACTGAATTTTAAGGCACAACCTTAGAAACTGGGAGTATGAATCCATAGCTCCAGCAAGGATGCCAAACAAAGGTGATTAGAAAATTTCTATCAGAAGAGATTATCTAGGGAAAAAACTATTTATTAATTTGTTTGTCTATGATATTTTGCTAATAATTTTATAATGAAAATCCCATGCCACGTGACAAAATATCCCTACTACACCATGGACCACTAAACAGGGTGGGAGTGTGTGTGTATCTGTCTATAGTTCTTGCAGATTTACTGGTGAATTCAGCTGTAGTTTTATAAATCCTGTGAATGGCTGTCCTAGTTTCAAAATTTAACTTCTTTTCAAATGTTGGTATACTTTGCCAGTAGACAAGTATGTTGTTTTGATTGAAAATGTAAGCTCCTTTTAAATTAGAATACTGGTTATGACTATCCACAGAGCCAGGGTAGGGTTGGCTGCCGTAAGCTGGCCATGGCTGATTTTCAAGCTTCAAAGCCTTTGTTTCTATCAAGACCTCATCTGTGGACATTGATCATGTTCAGATCTGTTGGAGCGTTAAAAAAAGAAAAGAGAAACCTTTAAAATTTGAAAAGGTCTGACTTCACTGGAAAAATTAATCAAAAGAAGTATTGCCAACTACAAGGTAGAAGTTGGCAGCTCTTAAAAAGTGGTGTGTCAGATACACTGTCTCACACTTCACACGAGTTTAGGCCTAACTTAAATAAAATGTGTTTTTAAAATTAATATTTTTAGAGTAATTTTAAATTCTACTTCCTGAATTTTTAAGATATAAATATTCCTGAAATTTATTTCTCTTTTCTCACTAAGCATGGACTTCCATAGTAGCTCCTGTAATTGGCACAATTACAACAAATACTTGTATGAAGGAAGATGTTTCCTCAGAGACTTTCAAACTTTAAAAGATTCATTCTTACTCAATTTTCCTTCATGTTTATTAGAAAAAAATACAGAGAGAGAATACCCTTTTTTCTCCAAATATGATGCATTTTTCTTCCTAATTCAGTTTATATTTACATTTATGAGGTTACTATGAACTGAAGTCACTTGCAATCTGATGTCCTAGAAAAGCATTCAGGTATCTCCTGTATTCCTGTTGTGGAAATCCCAATGAATGTTGGCTTTTTAAAGTGTTGGCTGCATTTTTTCTGTTATTTAAAAATGTGTGGAAATCCATAGACTATAACATGACACTACTTTTTTTTTTTTTAACATTCCAAGATAGACAGTATATGGCTTTATTTTCACTTAGAGTGAATAAAAAGGATTGATTCTTCTGAAATCCCTCCTGATAAGAACCAGAAACAAACATAAGAGAATGCAGATACAAGAGGGAAGGAGTAATGCCCTGCTTATGTGTAAAGTTCATTAGGAATGACTGGTAAGGGAAGAGCATGGCTCATGAACATATGGGAAATCAGTTTACTTCAGAAAACTGAGGGCGAAAGGAAGGGATGTCTGCTTTTTATTAAAACCTGAAATGCATTATAATTGTCCTGAATCTTTGCCCAGATGGCTTCTCTTATGCTGACATCTGCAAGAGTGTATATAAAGCAACATTAAGAAACTGTCTCTTGTGACACTGTGTACACATGTAATTCTGTTAAAAACTAAGCCGTTTGCTATCTGTAGTGTTGGATTTTGAATAAGCATGCTGAGAAATGTCATTTGTTTGACAAAAACTAATTATGGAACATGCTTTTTTCATGGAAAGTTTCTACTACATCTGAAAAAACTTTTTAGGGCTTTTCACCTATTTTTGTAGATTCTTTTTCATTCTTCATCATAAATTCCAGGTAAAGTGGGGGGGTTTTGTCTCCTTTTGGTTTGTTTTTTAGTTTGTTTTGGAGGTTTTTGTCGGGGGGAAACACAGCATTTCTTATTGCAATCCTGTGTATTTTTTTCTAAAATTTAAGTGTAATTATTTTGAATGTTCACATGTGAATTTAAGCTGTTTTCCATTGACCAGTGAAAAGCTTAAATGATACTAGGATGTCCATTTCTTATTAAACAGGTTGGATGATAGCAGTGGATGCAATGTAATATATCCATTAGTCTGTTCACTTGTGTCTGTAACTCACAGGGTAATACTTTTTTAAAAATAAGCTGTCAATACACTGCTTCTTCCTCTGTCAGACAACAGGAAAATTAAAGTCAATGGCACCAGGGAACCTATTGAGTTTAAGACAAATCAGTGGTTTGGAGCAACAGTCAAAGCTCATAAAGAAAAAGTTGTGGTAAGTCTTATGCATTTAGTATTCATTTGGAGATAACATTTATTTTTCTCAAATGTGTATCTTTAATAGCTCTCTATGTGTATATTGTGGAAATAACTTTGATTATGCATGAATTGTAAAACAGATGATATATATAATTCAGAAAATGAAAGCAACTTACAGAATCAGGTTGAACTGATCAAGCTAAGATGATTCTGTTGCCATATGAAAACAGCAGAATGCCATATTGTTATGGAAGTGAATGAGGATATTTTTTAAACAGATAGTGGACATACTTAAGAGATACAAAGTTACTGATAGCTCTATGCTATAAAATGTTTGGTATTACGAAGGTATATTTGGAATGTTAAGTACAGAATGTAAAGAAATTATATGTATTGGAATGTAATGAAATGTAATGAAAGCCAAGAACCTCTGCTGAAGTTCAGTTAGTAAGAGAAAGCACTGATCTCTTTTGTCACATTTACGTTGTTTTCAGCAGCTATGTCATAGTCATGCTAAAACAGCTGAAAAAAGTCATCAAAAAAAAGCTCCAAACAAGATGGCTGTCAAACTGTAATGTCTGTTTTCCACTTTCACTGAACATTTTTCCTGTATTGATAGAGGCCTTTAGCAGTGAGCAAGTATTTTTATTGTTTAGTAAAGTGGTGATGATGCTTCTTATACACAGAGATTTTTTATTTCCAATGTATGCACTCATTGAAAATGGCAGTGAAGTAATTGTGACAAGACAAATTAGTTTGGTCATTAGTTTTATTAGTTTTTACAATTGCAAAAACAATAATTTGGTTTTGGATTTGCTTAAAACTCCCAATTATTACTTTTAAAAGCAGTCATAAGGGAGGAAGTATCAAAAGGAAATGCTTTCCCTTGTATCGTGTGCCTTGTGGTTAACCTATGGAAGGATTTTGACATAAAACAGGTAATGAATAAAACATCACCCTATTCTGTTACAGAGCTAAGTAAACATAAAAATTCTAAAAAATTCTAGAAATAACTGAAGATATTTCGTTTTAGTACAACAATTCACCAATCGAAATAAAGTACTTCTTTACCACCATTTGCCAAGTCTTAATTAAGTGAGCAGAAAACCTCATCACCTGAGAAAAACTGATGTGCTGTCTCTGTACCAACAAAACTGTTTTATTTCTGATAACTCTTCTCCGACTGAAACGGAGATAGAGTCAATACTTTTCAGGCAAAAATTTGGACAGCAAAGCTCAAAAACTTTGTCTGTTAATCTTGGTAGGCTGAAAGGAAAATGACATCAAACTGTCAGGAACTTTTTAAAGCTACAAATATCAAGTGGACCTAAAATCACCCACACATGACACTCCTCTTTCCTGCCTCCAGTTTTGCTTTCTGTTTTAATATGTAAGGCTTTCTAGGCAGGGGCATGTTAACAGTATCTGTTCCTTCAGCAATTGCTCCAGAAGCTCTGACTTTTATGGCAAGCTCTGAGTGATTCATCTAGCTGGAACTGATTGCAAATCAAAGGCTTATACAGTAATGTAAATAATAGCAATACTTTGCCAGAGGTAGACAGATTTCTCATTGAAAAAGTAGGATAAGGTAGGACATGAATGAAGAATTTATTTGTATCTTGCAGAGGCAAAGTTGTAGGGAGAGGTAGTGTCTTCACCCTCCCAGGAAGTGAAAAGTTTTAGGGCACAGGACCCACTGAAGCATGACTTGCAGACCAGACAGTTTATTATTTTTATTTTTATAATTATCTGGATTACCTCCAAAAAAGATGCCTCTCTCTACACAACTTGTATATCTTTTATCCTTACACTGTCATGTTTGTAACACCACTACTGTAACACAGATTAAATATTAGTTCTCTAGCCAAAACTTATGTAGCAAAAAACTGTTTGCTCAGACTTTTAAATGCATTATAGCTGTATCATATCTACAAAGATTTGAACCAGGGATTTATAGGAAGGAAGACAATCTGATGATTGTCACAGATAATATGACACAAAACCCTGACAAATCTCCTTCTGCTAAGTGGAGTAGAGTAGTTGTGCTGCAATACCTTCTATCTTAAGACATACCAGCACAGAACTGGGATTGCCTTAAGCCACATATATGTGATTTACATCTTAAGCTACAGAATCAAGTCCTGTGCAATGAGCAGTAATAGAACAAAGATATTACTTGTGGAGCAGGCTTAGAGCATATCTGTAACATGCTTAAATGTGCCTTGTAGTCCCTCACAGATTTTACCTACCAAGGGCTATAAGTAAAAATCCTGCATTTTCTTCTGTCAATGTCTTGTGATCATTGCTGCATGAATGATTCAGTACCAGAGAGAATCTTTGTACACAGTTTATTAAAAACTGCATTTGCCAGATGCATGAGCATGTAAAAGGTATGTGTGACATTGTTTCTACTTTGATAGGCTTGTGCTCCTTTGTATCATTGGAGAACCCTTAAAGACAGCCCTGAGAAGGACCCTGTTGGTACCTGCTATGTAGCAATTCAGAACTTCAGTGCTTATGCAGAATATTCTCCTTGTCGCAACAGTAAGTATTAATATGAACAATCCTTTGTTGAAGGAACTGATATTGCACTTAATATTTTCATCCTTTTAGTCTTCACACAGTCTTAGTTGAATGAATGTTGCTATATGATGTTATTGCATTGAATGAGAGTGTAAAGAAAAATCAACTTTAAATTATATTCCTGTAATTGGATGCTTTATTGTATAATTAATTGAAAGAGGAGAAATCAAGTAAATTGTGTGCAGTTATAGTGATGAGCTATAATTGGTTCAATTTGAATGGCTTTAAAATGTAGCTAGATAAGACAGATCTAGATAAGAACCAGACAGCATTTTAAACCAATTATTCCTACTTATGCTGAGTATAAATCTCTCATCACAAGATCATCATTTGAAGACCAGACCCTGCACAGAAACACACAAGCCTGTATCACCATTCATGCCAATATCATCCACAATATCTCATTTGTGAAGAACTTTCAGCATGGATGAAAGACATGCAAATTAGCACTGCTGCTACACACTCTTCTCTGTGCTGTTCTGAGGATGCAGCAGCCATCCCTGGGCCTTGCTTCTTGGGGAATAGGGAAAAACTGCATGTATATTTAGAACCACATTCAGTTACCTAGAAATCTGGAGAAAATACCACACATTAGATTGTATCAGTCATTCATCTCATTTAGCATCCTATGTCTAAGTGTTTATGATGATTATTAATACCCTCATTACCTCAGTGCTCCATATTATTAAAAGCAATATGAAGTATCCAATGACTTTACTGAGCTTTGGATTGAGCTGAATCTATGGCAATTTCTACAGTACAAATCAGAGAATTTTTTTTCAGTTACTTTTTCTAAAGGTAGCATGTGTAAGATACCAAATATGATGGGCTTACCTGTCCCTTCATAGCAAAGCTATGGCGGTGTTCAGTCTCACTGATGAGTAGCTGCTTCAAGTTGTGTGCACCAGCTGATAACATAGGGAGTCTGAATGTAGTTCCTTGTCATGATACCCCTTGTAAGAGACCCTGCTATTGCAGATAATGTTCTTGCTGTGTGCACATGGGCTAATTTGAAATCACACTTTTTAACTGTTCCTCTGCTGCAAACTGTGCTCCTGCCTTAAACTTTCTCATGGATTATTTTGCCAAGAATGTAACAGGTATTTTACAGAAAAAGTAGGCATAATTAAAAGGTCTCTTTTTCATCTCCAGCCAAATTCAAACTTATTCCCTGATAGTTGTTGCAAGGGTCCTTCCTTGGCAGTGAGGGGAGAAAGCCTCAAGCAGCAGGTCCTATTTTTCAAAATCTTCACAAGGGGCTGCGTGTTCAGGGTACTGCAGGAGGTCTTGATTTGCTCTGCCTCTTCTCAAAAAGAATACATATTTTCACATATTTTGGCAGATTTGCATTTACAGCCTTATAGCTCCAGAGGTGTGTATGCTATCTTCCACATGCACTGGGAAATCAATAAAATGCTTCTACCTTCATAATTGCAGGCAATGCAGATCCTGAAGGACAAGGCTTTTGTCAAGCAGGTTTCAGCTTAGATTTTTACAAGGTGAGATTCTGCTTCTGAAGTATTTTGATGAAATGTAGTTGTGATATATCCCTAGTGTTCAAATGCTGCCTCACTGATCATGAGTTTATCCCCATGCTGTTGCATATGGAAAGTTTCGTGAAGTTATTGCAAGGTCTTTCCTGCTTTTCAAGTTCCAAACTTTTGATTTCATTAATAGAAGAAATACTCAGTCAGCACCTGTTTAACTCTTTGCAGCACTCCAATCTAACTCTGCTCAGTCTATCTTAATAGATAATTAGGCAAACAATTATATGTGCTTCGATCTCAGTCTGTCCCACTTACAGTGCTTTACAGGGACTTGACTTTCAGAAAGTAATGGGTAGGCACCAGCTAGTTTTAAAAAGTTTAAATAGCTTGTATAATTATGCTTTTGGAGGCAGAGTAGTCATTAAGACCATTCATGTGGCGGTGAAAGTGCTTAAGGGAAAGAACTAGTTTTTCTTAATGCCAATATTGTGGGACAAAGGATAAACTTTGCAGCTATTGTTATCATCTGTGCCATTATTACAGCACCAGGGCCTCACATAACTTTGACCATTGTCATTGTTTTCAGTGTTCTGCAGCTGCATTTTTATTTACATTATTAATAGCTATGGGGTTAAGACTTCCTTGTAGGGTAGACAAAAGTATACTTCTCTATAAAATATTGCTGTTGATTCATTGAATGTAAAGACACTCTTTTATGATAACTTTGTTTTGTTATAAATAAGCAGCAATTTTTAGAATGCTATGTTACAGTAAAAAAATTACAGCTTTCATTCAAGTTGCACAGGGTGATCTTAACTTTTTTTAACTCTGAATTTTTCTGTACATTCATGTACATCCTTTCCTTGAACATGGCTATTCTCCTTTATCATGATTCTGATATTATTTTGGTCATTTAAATAGTTTTATCCCGTGCATGCTTACTTTTGTGATGTTCTTTCGTTGTGTAACTTTATTCAATTCTGCTTTTTGTAGAATGGAGACCTGATCGTAGGCGGACCCGGTAGTTTTTATTGGCAAGGTATGTTCATCTGGATGGGTAACTTAATCTAAGAAGTGAAGCAGAAAGTATTGTTGTTCTAGATTTCCATTGTTTTGTCGGTTTAAGATAACCGGTCTGTGATCTTATTTTCAACAAATGTAAATCAGAAGAATTGCTTAACAAGCAACTGAGCATAAAAATAAGTCAGGGAAAATTCAGGATGTAGGTTATATAACAAGTGAAACAAATGCAAATAACTATTTTTATGTTGGCATTTAAACATACTTGTAATTTAATTAATAAATTGTATTTTTCCCTAGAAATAATGCAGATTTAAAAATACCTAGTATTTATACAGCAAATGTACTTTTTTTTAAAGTTTTTGTTACTGTTTGTTTCTGAGCACAACCCTTTATAGTTATCTGCATATATTTGAAGTTCATTTGTGGCATCACTGTAGTTTTCAAGATGTAGTTTCTCATGTAGATAAAACCTAAAGTTGTTTTGGTAAAGGGTTAAAAGGTTATTTTTGTTTTAACCTGTTTTGACATGTATAATATAATATAGCTGATTCCCAGCCTCTGCCTCCGATCTTGCCCCTTGTCAGCCTCTTTGATGTGTGTTTTTGCATTGTCTTTAAAGAAGGAAGAGCTAATTGATTGTTATAGTAGGGAATTCATAGCTCTGAATTCTCCACTGCGAAATTGCTTCCATTGGTCTACTACATTCATGCAGTGCAGTGACTTTAGTTTGAATCAGCACACTGAAATGGGTCTGGAGATGTTTTTGTGATGGTTCAATAGAAATTCAATGCCTTATTGTATGGATTTATGTGTACTCTTGAGACTTACAGGGTAATAATGGACAAAGATTGAGAGAAGGTATCTATTCTTTGCATCCATGTTGTATTATCCCTTCAACTCTGTTCTAATCTTCTGCCAGCCCTATTTTATAGACTCTGGCTCTGTTCTATGCTCCTTTTATTTATGAAGCTGTTTGAATCCAGGTCAGGTAATCACTGCAAGTATTGCGGACATCATTGCAAATTATTCCTTCAAGGATATTCTGAGGAAACTGGCACGAGAGAAACAAACAGGAGTGGCACCACCCTCCTATGATGACAATTACATGGGTAAGCTAAGCTCTACATAAGATAGCAATATGTTCTAAAAGCATGAGTCATATAAATACGAAAACAAACCCTAAATTACTACTGTCACAATTGTGAGAGGGTTTGAACATGTTTTGCCTTAAGCGCAATAGCAAACCAGGAGTTTGCTGGTAACTTCAGTAAGGTTATTAACATTCTTAAAATTATGCACAGCAACAGGGTTTGAGGGTTGAGATCTTAAATGACTCATTAGGGTTCTTATTATTTGATCTTAAATAATTAATCAGAAATACAAATTTTTTTTCCTTCCAAGATGATGGATTGAACTTAAACTAATCAAAGACTATTTTAATTTTTAATAGATAAATGAAAATTCAGTTCTGTGGTATGTTGTACAGTGCTGCACAAATACCTAATTTACTCTTACTGGTATTTAAAAGATATAATTGAAGTAAGCAATAATAAAAGTCAGTTTGAAGACATTGTGTAATATATAGAAAAAAGGCTTCTTATCTACCTTATATTAGTACTGATCTATAAGAATTTTTGTGATGTTCACATGTCTCTTCATGTAAGGCAGGTTTTTCTTCACATAGCTATAGAAAAGAGTCAGTGGAATTGGAAGGCGAAGATGCATCCTTTCACCCCTGCTCATGGATTTGAAATTACACTCTCTGATACCATCCAAAAGTCTTTACTGTGACAATAGCAACTATCTCACAGTTTTACTAAAGTTCCAAGAGGTGCTTAACTGCATCTATGGAAATCTACCTTCCATATAAAGCTCAATCAGGACACTCATACATTATAGTACAGTAATGAAGACTTAAATTGTGTCAACAGGTGTTGGGGTAAAACACCATAGTACCTACTGGTTTTTTCAGATAAATTATTAATGATTTAGAAGCTCACTTTTGGAGAAGAGGGATCTATTTATTATACATTCAGACCTACCATTAATTTAGTCATAATTATGTGATTAAAAATTTTCCTTTTTTTCCCCACAGTTTTAGTATACTAATGATAGAAAATTTGCATTCAGATGATCAGCTAAACATACATATTTGATTGGTCTTGTGTATTTTTTGAAAGAAATTGTTTATCAAGGATTTTTTTTTTTTGTAATTTATCTTTAAACAGGATACTCAGTGGCTGCTGGAGAATTTACTGGTGATTCTGAACAAGGTAAGAAGCTATGTAGTTGAATGGAAACCATATGGCCGTGCACCTATTAAATTCCTGGGTTTGGGTCTCTACACAGGAACATACCTATTATACATTTGAAACACTTGTGAGACTGTGAGACTTGCTGTCTGTAAGGCAAATATTTCCTTAGACAGTGTAGCATAACAAAATAGAATGTAAGTACACAAAAATCTGAATCTGTTTTTATGGTATCATGCTCATGCATGTGGTCAGAAGTTAGTGCTGTGACAACATTTTAGATGAAGCCATTCAGTCTCACCTAATTTAGCCAGTTTGATGTGCTGAACTCATAACATGAAGTGTTGTGGCACGAAAACTATAACCAAGCTGAACATGGTCTTATTTTTAAGTTGCAAAGTAAGTTTTGCTTGTGTTTTAGAAACTGAACAGTATTTTCCCTATGTCTCTGCAAGTTAGTTCCAGTTTAGAAGAAAAGCTCCTGTCAGAGCTGTTTAGTAAAGTATGTTAAAAATATCAATTTATTAATAGAAACTTGCTCATGATTTAGCTATTTTCAGATGTTCTGATATTGCAAAGGATTTAAAAACACGTAGTTAGTTAAAAATACCTGTGATCCCTGGTGTTTAGTACCTGAAGAGCTGTGTTTCTTGTGTAAGGCTGACAGTCAGAAAATATTCCTTAAATATTCCTTTCCTGAGCAGGTGAGCAGCTATGTGGTCCAGACTCACAAAGCCAGTAGAGACATAATACATTTCCCAAATGAACCCAGCTCTCCAGAACTACTGCTGCTTAATCCCTCTGAAGCTAGAATTGCCTCTCCTGTGTTAAGAAGCATTTAAAAAAATAAGTAAAAAAAGACACAGTTTTGAGCCAAACACTATGATATGTGAAATGATATATCTCTGGTAATGGAAGGCTGCATTTTTTTGTTTTGTGTTTTTAATGCATACTCAAAGTTTTATAATGGATGATTCTTGAATCAGTAAGTCATGTGAATGACTGGCACAGAAAATTGCATAGGTGACTGACCTGAACCAGCGTCCTGTTCGGTCCTTCTTTATTACTTCCATTTCCCCTTGACCAAACATGTTCAATCACAGGGAAATATATAAACCCAGAGAGCAACAGAGGAATGGTAGGTCAGTTCAGGAGTCTGTGGTCTATCTGAAATTCCTTTGGCTGTCTTCTGGCAAGGATATCCTAATGAGGGAAAGTTTAGACAATAAGTCTGCAGGCTGTGACTTAGCTTTTTCCTTCTGATTTTTTTACCCATTTTTTCTACTGGTTGTTTAAAATTTCACCATTGAGCAGATTTACTCGTAGAAGGCACTTTGGTCCAATGTTTCATGTTCTTGTTCAATGGATGTCTCCAGTGCTGCTCACAAAAACTTCCTCGTAACACTTTCAGACAGCCTGTGCAGAACTTGTCAAACACTTCCATGGCATCAAGCAAAATAACGGATGAGACAGATTGTTGTGTAGCCAAAACAAAAAGAAGTATTTGTAAGGACAGTTGTATTCAGCTTCTGTACTCTAGTATGGGATGCTAGGACTAATCCTGGTTCCAGCAATCCACAGCTGTCAGGTAGCAAGCTGAATTGTACCAAAAGTTTCATTATGCTCTGCTATGCTAAGTAATGCTAGGCAGAAGGAGACCTATGGATGAGTGTGTTCAAAAGTCGAGGTGTAACTTTTTATGCAAGTAGATGCACTGAATGAATGTTAAAATCTTATGAATTAATGTCTTGAAGTGATTTACAGATCTGATACATATCACAAATCAAAATCCTTAGGGGTTTGAGATAGGTAGATAGGTAGATAGATAGATAGATAGATAGATAGATAGATAGATAGATAGATAGATAGATAGATAGATAGATAGATAGATAGATATTGAGGGTTTAAGTGGCACAGGATGCATGCTGCATGCACCACTCAGATAGCATAACCAGTTTACTGTTGATCTTTTATCCCTTCAGAGCTGGTTGCTGGAGTCCCGAGGGGAGCACAGAACTTTGGCTATGTATGTACTGGACCCTCATTTTATCCTTTTTATAGTGAGAAAGCAATTAGACTATTTGAAAGGTTAAAAGCTACATTATATTTTCTGTCTCTTTTATAAAACACTTCTAAATCAGAGAAAACTGCCACTGATTTTCACCCTTGGTCTTACCTGGCTGGGTTGGAATGCCTTACTGCTTTAGGCTTTGAATGGTAAGCACTTAGTATCTTCCAAAGTCTGTTTTCAGTAGACAATTACAAGAATGCTTAGAGTGTGACTAGTATCTCTATACTCACCAAGTGTTATCAGACCCAAGCTTACCCTTAGGTTAGCACATTTCATGTGCAAGGCTGTGTCTGCAGTGGAAAGGAGTCCAAGTTCAGATTATTCATACCCAATGTTTACCTTCAGTGCTGTAAGTATATACACTGAATACCAGATGCAAAGAATCATGATAGGAAGTTAGAAGTGAAGGGAGAAAACAATACACATTTGTGGATACCGCTTTTACCTCATAGGAAAAAAAGTTTCACAACTAACCTGACTGGGAAAAGAGATCCCAGCCACAGACATATTCTCTAGTTTTGTGGACCCAAAATTCTATGTATCTCTGGAACTTGTTCTTAAAATTTTTCAGAAGAAAGCTGTATATGTATATATGTATTTACGTATGTATGTATATATTTCTTTATGTTTTAAGTTCATGTTTTCATGCCTAGTTACTGATTAGCTGATAGTCTGTGATTTGCTGCTGTTCAGTGATTAGTAAGGAAGGGAAGTAGTCTTTTCCTTATTTTATTCATGGGGAACCTGAGTCATAAAATTTTAGTGGTTTGTTCAAGATCATACAGGAAAACCGTAGTGAGACAGAAAATAATTGTTTCTTCTTGGCCACTTGGACCATCCTGCAGCGTGTCAAATTGTTTTGCACTGATGTCATGTTGTAGCATCTCCATGTGGGCTTGAAACTTTCTGTATTTTTCTGTTACCAGGTCTCAATTATTAATTCTTCAGACTTGACCTTTATCCAGAACTTCACTGGTGAACAGGTAATGTCAAGCAACTACATGATGAAATATTATATCTCTAGAGGATATAGTTTCATTAACATAGTTTCAAGAATATATAAAATAATTTTTGGTATTAATGACCATAAAAACAAAGAGGATTATCAGTAAAAACATTTTAAAATTGATATCTGATATGAAAGCCTATCTGTTGTTTTTTATTTCCAGATGGCGTCTTATTTTGGGTACACAGTTGCAGTATCTGATGTTAACAATGATGGGTAGGTTACCAAATATATTCAGCTCCACTGAACATTCATAGAAGCAATGCCTGATATTTATTAATAAATGCAGGTTTTCAGGTGCTTCATACCTCAAAATGCTTTTCTTGGCTTCTCTGCTTTTCTAGTTTTAATTGTTCACATAGGCTTGTCTTTGTGTAATCACAGTGGCACGAGTATTTGCAGGCCTAGTTTGTGTGAGTTTGTCTTTTGGAATATTTATTCATAGGAGTGTGTCAGAGTGGGAATGTCCAAAGTCTTAGGAAACAGATCCCGGTAGGGAAACAGTGAATAAACAGCACTAGCTACAACTGGGAAGGGATAGGTGAAAGTGAAAAGTTCATTCTCCCATTATCAAAAGCAGGTAAGTCTTCTCACATGTGCACCATCCATAGCTTCACTTCTCAATTTTAAATCTTTCCAGTATCATCAGCTCCTCATTCCTCATTCCAGCACCTATTGGTTGACCATCCATTTTTATCATCCCAAGGACTAACAAGTGTCTGTGTCCCATAGCTGTTATGGCAGGCATTCTGCGTGCCTGAGGGAGAACACTGCTCAGCTCCCAGGGTCATGCCTCAGACACTTGGGTATTTCAGGCCCTGTTGAACAAAACACTTGTTAACTTTCAACTCATGTACAGTTTGATTAAATATTTCAAAAGATTAGGACTTTAGTGAGGTGATATTGATAGTGGCTTTTTAGCAAAGAGATAAAGATCCCTGAAGCTCAGAGTCTTGGTAGTCTGCACAAAAGGTGAGCCAGGACCGTAATTTAGAGATGTGGCATACTCTTGTCTATAGCGAAGTGTCTCAGATGTGTCTACCTCATAATTTTTTCTTGTGATCATTTCTTAATAGGTGCTTAAATGTAGAGCATTAAATAATTTTTCTGGGCTAAATCATTGCTTCCCATCATTGACTAGTGACCCTTTAAAGAGTGAGGGGTACAAGAAAAGAGAAAAGTAAAAAGGTGGTAAAATCTTATTGCAGTTACAAAACAAAATAACAAAAAACCAGAAGTTTCAGCAGATTCAGTAGTGGTTTCATTGTACTCAGATCTTTCAAGTTGCTGAGATCAAATTTTCATAGTATCACAGCTTTTGAAAACTCGTGTTTTTGTGATTGTATAGAGAGTCAGGATTAATTTTGTCCTGCTAATGTATTACGAATGTGAAAGGGTGGAGAAACATTAATCTAAGTTCCAATAGACAGTCATTAGACTTCCAAGGAACTTGCTATTTAACTTCTCACTGAACCAAAATATTTCCTTGGCAGGTTATTTCCTGTTAACCGTAGGGTTGCTTGGCAGGTCTCATATTTTCTGTGTACCTCTAAAACCACAGTTTAGTCAATAATATAATCAAACTGTTATTGAGGCCTGTGTGGTCTCCCAGTCTATATCTTAAAAGAAATCTAATGACTCTTCCTGAGATCCAAACATCCCACAGAAAACAAAACACAAAAAGCTCTACTTGATAAACATGTCTGATTAGATATGTAGTCTGTCTTTGCTGGTTTGCACATATTGTCAATTGAAATATTTATCTGAAGAGTAAAAGAGAGAAAAAAAGGCAAAAGGGAAATTAACACTTCAAATGCACTTAGGCTTTTTGCAGCTAAATATAAGAAGGTAGTGATAGCCTTATCAGTATGAGAAACCTAATTATTTGCTGAAAAGATTAATAAAAGATTCATAGGAATGGCGCTTTGCTGTAGCTCAAAGATTAGGCTCATCCTAGGAAAAAAAGCCTTCTGTATACCTTCTGCTCCAGCAGTTCTGCAGGTATTCCACGGTGACTCTTGCAGTTTTATCTGTACCACATCAGGATTGCCGGCAGGACAGGGAAATTGAGGATACTGTTTGAACTACTGTTTAGTTGTCTCCTGCTAATAATGAGAAATCCACAATGAAACTTAACAAATCAAGATTTGCCATCAACTCACAGGCTACATTCCTAGTAAAGAGAGAAAAAGAGAACACTTTCAATTTAGGCTGAAACAGTCCAGTAAAAATAGTGAAATAAACTGTTTACTGGGTTTTTTTATTTGGCCTATATCAAAGCTTTCTGTAGTTATACTTTGACCTCTTGACATTTCCCATACTCCTGCTTTTTATTACTCAGCAGGATACAAAGGAACAGCATACAGTCTCAGCAGGTGGTCAGTTTTGTGCTTTTTAAAGATTTTTTTTTTTTATCAGAAGGGAAGTCATACTGGCTGGTTACCTTTCTGTGTTGGAACAAAAAATAATATATAATTTATGTTAACTGTAAAATCTTAATGCAGTAATGAAATAAATCCAATGAACCAGTTCAAAATACCACTGCAAACTGAACTGCTCTTCATGGTTGTCCAAGGGCTTTGGCTTTTGCTTTACTCTTATGCTTTTTAAAAGGAATCACATCAACCTGAATTTGGCTCAAAACTCTCAATTTTGTAAACATAAACTCCTCCAGTTTAAAAGACCAATTGAAATACTCTCCTTCACCAACAAAAATGGGTAATACTGATCACATAGGTACTTAGAACACAAGTACACACACACCCCCACACCTCCTTGGCTGCTTGTTGTCGAAATAATTAAACTGTAGAATCTGAGAGGCAAAATTGACCAAAGTATGGTAAGAAGCAATTCCTTGCTCATTTTATCCACTTGGAGAGGAACGAGAAATAAGTAAATGAGGATTAGGGAGAGCTGGCTAGCTGACAAATCCGTCCTTTTTAGCTATAGTACAGTTCTGTGTTAGCTCAAAAAAACCCCAAACTCTGAACACAAACCCCTAAAATTGCCTGAGGGAGAATTCCATCTTGCAGAGGACTTGCTGAAGCAGCTTGCCTTGACCTACAGAGTTCAGCACTGACAGAGAATGGAAAAATCGAGAGAGTAAGGAAAGGAAGGCTTTGGTAGGGGTGGTACATGTGAAAACCTGGAGGGAAGGCAAACCAAGTCCTACGGGTGTTCCAGGGAGCTCTGCTGCCCATAACCAGTTTAGAAATAGGTTAGTGTATTGGATGAGTGCCTTCCTTCCATCTTTCCCTCAGTACATCAGATGATGAGCCATCTTAGCTACCGAGTTCTGGTCCCTGCTCTCTGAACTATTCATGCTTTTTTTACAGTCATTGTCATTTATTTTAGCAAAGTACAAATTTTCCTAGAAAAATAACCCAGCACTGTGTGCCCTTCTAGCTGAGATACTGTGCTCTCTGCACAACAAGCTCCAGCTCCTGTCTGCTTGCTCTCTGTCTCAGCTGGTGGATCTTGTGTTCTGGATTAGGCTTCTGCTTAGAGAATTTTAGGCCGTGATAGATAGTCTGCCTCTCTTTTCACCATTTTAGGCACTCTGGATATTGTTCTATGAACTATAAAATTACCTGGGTATCTATATATTTTACATCAGTGTACTGGGAGCTTCCTGATTCAATTATTTGGTTCCTTACCACCTCTGAAAAAATCTTTCCTTAGTCTTACCATTGTTCATTTGTAGAATATTCATAGGAGCCAAGCTCATCTTTTACTTTATGGTTTATAAAGCACATAACTCCATGGAGTTCCAATTTACTGGGAATGTGTGGACTGCAATGTAATAAAATAGTAATTGCTGATAGTGCTACTGTGTAATGCTTTCAGTTCATGGCATACATAAAATAAGTTATTTTAAAAATAGTATTTGTGATTGGGTTTAGTTATTGCTATTGTTTCATAGCAACCATTTCAGCTGATATTCTGTCCCAAGCACAAATATCTTCCATTAGTAGAGCAGGACTTTTGATGTTCGATGTAAAAGGAAAATTCCCACCACAGATGTCGAGTCAGCATCTGCTTCCTTCCTTTTTTAGTTATTCTTGCCTTAGGGTAAAAATCCAACATAAAAAACGAACAGCTGTACCAGTGACATGACATTTTGAAATACAATTTCCTTTATGGAAACATACTATAAAACTTAATAAGAAAATAACATTTCTAGAAGTACTTTGTCACATCTTATAAAATGTGTATGTTCTACAAAGTGACTAAAAGGCTTCTAGATGAGATATTCTGTGCTAAATTCTGTGGTATATATCTTAGAATCATAATACATACTTCTGGTAAAGTAGTAGCTGATCTAAATCTTACAGATTTTTTTTCTGCCAGGATTGGGAAAAACAATGTAGTGCAATTTTACTAAATTGGTTTACTAATAGATAAAGCCTCAGGAAAATGTTGGCATTGGGAATAAGATTAATTGGGAGTAAAAGTTTTTCTATGAGTTTTACAAAGTTTGAACAAAGTTTCATATTAGAGCAAGAGAAAATGCTTTTCCAAATTAAAAATTCTGGTATCAAATAGTACTAGTTAATACAGATCATCAATGTCCACTGAATGTAATGGGAATTTTTTATTAGTTTGCATAGGCTTGAGAAGCCTTCAGCAGTTTTATACTCTCATTTAACATCTCAGAATAATCCATTATAAATACTTCTGCCTGTTATGTATCTATCAGTCTCACTGATTTTATTCTTCACTGTTTATGTCTTGTTTTCCCACTAAATAAATATTGATAACGTGTTTTGAAACATGCCTACTTAAAACAACAACATGCAAAATATTGTTTATATTTGAATAGTCTGTATTCTTTGACTGATTCTTCTTGGAGTAACAAAATGGACAGAAATTTTCTGTTATTTTCCCTTTAAGTATCATATTTTTGTGATTTGATAATGTCCTTTCTCTTTAAAACTCCATATAGCAAATTATGTGAGCACTGCAACTATTCATGTGCCTAATATGGAACAGAAGTGTTTTCAGAAATAAAGCTGTGGCTTTGTCTCCCAACTTTTATTTGAATTAGTGATGAGGCATTCTCTGTGAATTGATGCTCACCTTGTATTTCATGTATATTACTCAAAAATTGGCTGTAAAGTGGCAGGGTTTTTTTTCTGTTGTTCACTTACTGATGTATAAGTTGCAGAAACTAAATTTTATACTAAGATTTGTCTCTCACTAGCACTGTTGGCAGAACAGATCTACAGAGTTTGTTCTAGTAACACAGATTCCCCATTAGTTAAGTTGCTGACTTCAGGATTGTTAACTGCAAAGTATAAGTTTTCAGTGTCTATTGTGAGCATAAATTGAAGTGCAAGAAATTCTGTTTAAATCTAAAAATAATTTTTTTTTGCTGTGATGGTGATCAAACACTGGAAGCAGTTGCCCAGAGAGGTTGTGGAGTCTCCATCTATGGAGATATTCAGAACTGGACTGGGCATAACTGTGGGCAGCCTTCCCTAATTGACCATGCTTTTGACAAGTGTTTGGACTAGAAATCTAGAATTGCCTTCTTACCTCAGTTAGAATATGACTCTATGAAAATTATCAGATTCCTCTTTAGCGAATGCCTAAAGTGTGTTGTTTGCACTCAATCTCTCAGTGACGCTGCTTTTTGTTTGACTGTTCCAGTTTAGATGATATCTTAGTTGGTGCCCCGCTCTTTATGGAACGAGAATTCGAGAGCAAGCCTAAAGAAGTTGGGCAAGTTTATCTGTACCTGCAAGAAAGTGCATTCCTCTTCAGAGATCCTCAAATTCTGACAGGCATGGAAGTGTTTGGTAGATTTGGCAGTGCAATCACACACCTTGGAGATCTCAATCAAGATGGATATAATGGTAATTTGTATGTAATGTAGTATATCTCTGTATAACATTAAAATTAAAAATAGCTAAGCAGTGAATATGAAGTGTCTGTGCAGTGGCTGAAAAAGGCTTTTTAACTTGTAACAGCCTTTGAAGGTCATGAGAATTTACACTAATGTTAATGAAATTGATATTGAGAGCCAAATCATGAAAAGCTTCCCAATAAGAGGGCAGTCATGTTGACTATAGTGCTACTTTTACTAAATATGTTCATTTGAATAAAAATATTATTCTTTGGTTTATGACTATAATTTCATTTATTTACTTAGTTAAGCTGTTTGCGCTTGTTTAAAAGCAGAGTTCTCAAATGCTGGGAAGAGTTTGAGAATTGAATGAGGCTCAGCACATGAAGCATTTTGTCAACAATGAAAGAATTGGACAAGTACAGAAATACTGTTTTGGAATCAAACTTCCCTTGGTACTTAGGCACCAAAAGAAACACTTGCATAATGGGTCCTTTTTTCAAATGCTTATAGCACACAACAAAATGTTCATGTAAGTTAACTGGCAGCCTACATTCAAGAAAACAGTACAAGTAAAGTAACTGCGATGGCTGGGATGCCTTGAGCACCTAGAGTTAGCCTCCTAGACATAGTCAGTAGCACCTTGGTTTTCTCTGCATGCATTTCCTTACTTATTTTCAGGGTGTTAGTGGTCTTCAAAGCAGGCATCTCTGCATCTAAAACAGCAAGAAGTTTTTCCTAGAGGAGCTATTTTGCACAGTAGCATTTAAGATAGTTGACCCACAAAGGAAAAACTGATGGATTTTGCTCCTTCATAACTTGAGGGCTGGTTTTCACAGTGTTCTAGCCACTAGATTCTGGGGCAAGGTCCTCATTGTTTGGCTGCTGTGCAAGGAAAAAGTCATGTTGGGAGTCATAGGATTGTATTGGGGTTCAGACTGCACAAAATATGAATACCATCCTGTGGGTAGAAGCCATTGGATTGTGACTGCTGAGAATACTCTCACTGGCTTGTCCTGGAATCCCACACTGGAGTTCAGACAGCTGAACCCCATGGTGGAGGCTTCCTGTTTTCTACCTGTGAGCAATAGCAGATGCCCTCAGCTACTCTGGGCAGGGAATGTTGATCTGCTCTCCAGAATTCAGATAAGGCAGGCAGGAGACATTGCTGGTTTTCTCTGTCACTGTGTAAAGACTAAGAAGAATCTTGAGCCAAAGTCTTCTGCTTCATAACTGAAGATGCCAGTTATAGAACATTGGTGCATTTCTGCCTTTAGAGAGAAGCTACAGATTCCAGGTGCTCGATTTAAGTTTAACAAAGAAGTTCAGCATCAGCTTCTACATCAAAACCTAAAAATTAGAGTTGTAGATATGTATCCTCTAGTGTTTTCTATTGGCTAGCTCAGATAGTGTGGCTGTTGAATCTCAGTCTAGAACATGACAGTCTCCACATCCCATGCATAGGAAGTAAGAAGAGCACTGTGAGTTCTGCTTCTTGGATATGGCACCTCATTGTTAAGGACTGAAGTGTTTAATTGCACAGTGCCCAACCCCTCCTGTTAGATTCCTGACTTGGAAATATTCTTATTTCTCAATAAGACAATGGCTTGGTATAAATGAAAACATGATATTCCATTGCTCTCTTTTGTATACTAGAGCACTGCATATTTAAGGGATGGAATTTTTTTGTCTATGTAGAATATTTTATCTGGAAAAAGAAAATTAGTTTTATCTAACAGCTGTTCCTTTTTAATTAGGTGATAGAGGAAATTAAGGAAAATTTGTGCCTGTTTAAAAATATTAAAGTAGAAGCAGGCATTCATTAGATCTTGGTTTATTAAAGCTAGTTAACTGCCCTGGAAATATGTAGAGGAATCCAGTGTGGACTGGCTATTTAGTATAATTGAATAATTATATTTTCAAAGGATTATTTTATAAGCTTTTGTCATGAAACTTTGACACAGAAAAGACACTGCAAACATTTTTGTATGTTTGCCTTAAAACTAGAAGTATAGAACGTTGAAGATCTTGCGTGTTTGTAGCAGGAGCCGTTTGTGTCAGTTTTCCTGCAGGGAGTTAATTTTTAATTGTGCCCATTCTTTTTTTCTTTTTTTTTTTTTTTTTTCTTTTTTTCTTTTTTTTTCTTTTTTTTTTTTTTTTTTCACTGCAGACATTGCTATTGGCGCACCATTTGCAGGAGAAGACAGAAGAGGGAAAGTTCTCATTTACAATGGATACAGTAATGGGTTAAACACTAACCCTTCCCAGGTTCTCAATGGAGCCTGGGCCTCACAGTCCATGCCTTCGGGATTTGGCTTCACTCTAAGGGGAGACTCAGATGTAGACAAGAATGATTATCCAGGTAAGATTTTTCCATTAGAAATGGAATTTTATACTTCCATTCTCTGGAAAATGCATCATGCCTACACTGCTCCTTTTGGAAGGCAGAGGTCAGAATAAAGAACAGACATTTTTGGATAGTTCTTGTTCACTTTCCTGAGAGTTAAAATCAGACAAAAACAAATACTCCCTTTCCTGTCAAAAGACATGATCAGAAAGTCAAGAAAGGGCTTAAATAGTTGTATTAACATAAAACATGTGAAGTTTACAATAAAAAGCTTAACCCTTTCCCCCCACTTCCAAAAATTGAAAGCTCTCAGCTTATTCAACTTGTAAGGTCTCCTTCATCCTGGCATTCTTTCTTAATTAAAAACATGTTGTATTGTAAATAAGGGATTGACTTGGTTGTGTTGCTAAGTTATTTTTTGCTGTCAGAAGAGACGCTGAGCTATATATAGTTAATGGCTTTGATTGCACTACAAAAAAGCAGAGAGAATACGAATTGCTTAAAGGTAAATACTTTATTTGGACCTTTCGGTCTCTGTTTTCATTTTGCTACATGGACTCCTCATTTTTAGGGTAGCTTTGTTTCTTCCTTATTAGCTTATCTAATAAAGTACGTATTTACATTTACCAAGTTTGTAACACTAGTTAAGTTTCACAGGGAAGTGTTTATTTTTTAAAGAAATTTTTTTCTAGCACCTAAGTAGTGTGAGTGTACTTGTATTTACTCTCTCTCCTCTGGAAGCAAATATATTCTGTTTCTTTTCTTCACAGTTCAGAAGCCTTAGCAAGGGCATGGAGTAAAACGTCGTATTTTGTTATTGTGAAAGGTTCATCCACAGTAAAATGCTAATAGTCTGCACTTCCCTGACTTACTACAAAATCACTTTTGTTATCCTGGGTTATTTCAAGGCTAAAGTTCTTAAAAGTTGTATTATTTCAAAAGTAAAAATTTTTCAAAAGGACAAAAATAGGATCTCTTTTACCTTTTTGCGATGAATTGTAAAAACCTTGAAAAGGGTGCCTTTCCAAAGGCAGAAGGGAATTTCTGGGAAGGGGTGTTTACAATAGAAATCACAGTTTTACAAACAGAAAAGCTGACCACAGAGTAATAAAGTGAGGCTATCACAAGACTGCAGTAAGAAGATCTTTAGCATTTGAGAGAAGAAAGGGCTTTTAAATGCTGTTTTGACTTTTTGTATGCATATTGTTGATGTTGCTATTAATAGTCTTTCATTGTCCATGACTAATGAGGTTCTTTTGGACAACAGAGCTCTTTATTAAAGTTTCAACATTTAAACAACTCCTCAAGCACCCACAAGGCCCCCCACCAAAACCAAAGAAAACAGGATATGGCATTCCTGACATTTCTAAGATTGAAAAGATAGAGGGAAGGGAGAGATTCTTTGACTCACATAGGGAAGAAAGTGGAGTAGAAATCTCACTACTGTATTAGCATACTTTATATGGAGCATCTTTTCAGCTAATTTGTGGAAAGTTTGGGTAATGAGTCTTGATCTTCCAAATATGTATTGAGGAACTACTATAGTTGTGAGATTTCTTGGAATTTTTCTACTTGTCATTGTTGGCTCCACCATGCATCCTACTACCAGTATTTGACATTGTGGTGTTAGCTTACTGTGTTAGATGGTTTGATTTTATTACATGAATTGCTAATTTAAAAAAAAAAAAAAAAAAAGGTAAAAATCCACCACCCTGCATTTACTGTAACTAGCTTTTCCCTCCATCCCTCAGCTGAATATCTGGATGAGCAGTGCAGAGTACTGGGGAGGATCTCTCAGAAAATGAGAAGAAAAAGCCCTTACTGTCAGTCAACCACCTCTTCCTTAATTCACGAAGTCTTGAAGCACCAAAACAGAGCTGTAAAAATAACGCAAACATGGTATAGTACTAGCACAAAAATAGCCTTCCTATGGGAAAAAGGGATAAAAAAGAAAGGAAATAATATGGGGAAATGGGAGCACAGAACAAATATGCTAGGCAATGAAATAAGTAATCCTTCTTGTGTCAAAGAGCTTTTCTTTGCCTCCTGACGGAAGTGCTGAAGGGCAATCCTTGTACAAGGAGGAAGTGAGGTACTGAAGTTGGAAGGAATAAGAAGTAAGTTTTATTTTAGATAAACTGAGTCTTGCTGACTACAGAAGGTCTAGAAAACTAGCCTTTAATTCCATGCTTCCCAAACTACTTACAGTTTGTGCCTGTAATTCTAAGAGGATTGTGAAAGATTAGGGAAAAAATATAACAAAAATTTTAATTAAAGCTTTTTAATGTTTGTATTTTATAAGAAGAACAATGTAATAAAACCAAATTATGCTGACACATCACTCTCAGAGGTTCTGACCCTATAGACTGAGAAATGAGGGCCAGCTGTAATGTCTGGCTGCAGGCATAAACATGTATTGCCACTGGCTAAGGTGAGATTCTCCAAGCAATTAGCTCTTCCATGGCTAAAGTGTTCAGGACTGACTTGTATAACTGTAACTGTTCTTGTATAATTTACTCTAGCCCTTGTGCCTAACATTTTTCATGAGTCAGGCATACACCTGCTAGGAAATGAGAGGCTGAGAGATGGGAGTTAATCTTCCATTTCATTTTTAATGCACTGTGTAACATTTTCAGAGCTTTTAGAGGTTCAGACCTTCATTAGTTCAGATCATGTATTCATGATTTTGGACCAGGTCACTGACCTGGAGGCCAGAAAATACCATGTGTTTATATGGCTTCTTGTCACAACTACTTAGATTCATCCTGGGATCACTGTATTGAGCCCATGAACCAGTGCTCTTCGATTACAAGTTGAGGAATAAATACAGTTCCTAAAAAGTGAGGGTGGACCACAGACTAATTTTTCTCCCATTGGAGAAAGGTTAAAGCCCCTCTTGGCTTGGAGTTCAATTCAGTCTGAATTTAACCTGTTAGCCTTCTGGAGAACAGCAGCCATTTGGCACAGGAAGTCATATCTTTCTCTCTTCACCCAAATGCCAGTATAAGCTCAGGGACAGAGAAGAAAAGAGGGAGCAGATGAAGGGTCTCTAGAACACAGTGCTGTTCATATCCTCCAGCTTTCCTGTGGATGGAGTGGTTTCTCCTTCCTTCTCTTCCTGCAACTCCTGGCCAGTGAGAGAAGAGAGTCCCCTTCCTACTTCTTGCTCTTATTTAGGAAAAGAAGAGGAAGAGCCTCTTGTCCCCCGTGAGCCCAGTTGTATAAGAAATATGGGATAAAACAGACCACGGATGGGTTTAATGTGGAGTAGGAGAGCAGGCAGGAAAGAACATAATACAGCCATATTTATACAGATGAAAGATCTGTCTAGCACTGTGGCATGTTTCCAGCAGTGGCCAACAACAGATATCCAGGGAAACATACAGTTATTGTAATATTTCCCAGAATATTCATCGAGCACTAATCAACCAGAGGAGTAAGGTGGCTCCGAATCAGAGGTGGTATATCCAAATTTAGTAGCCCTTGACAGGCTTTTCTTCCCTTAATTTGACCAATCAGCTGTAGAACTCATGTAAACTTATGACACATGCAACATGTGTCAAGGGACCCCACACCTTGCTGAATGTTTTGTGAAGAAATAATTCTTTCCACTGTGTCCCATTCAAGCCTTGAACATTCCATTGGACAGTTTCTGTGGATGTGCCCTAGTTCTGATAGTGAAGAGATAGTAAACAATTCTTTAGTGCACTGTTATTTTACATACTTCTGCCATATTCCCTCCCTCAGCCATGTGTTTTACCAATCCTGTGAAAGGAACCCTAATTTACTTAATTGTTCCTTGTGCAATGGAAAATGGCACACCCGTCCTGCTGTACCAGGTGATGGTTCAGTCTTGCCACCACTGCTGCCTCTTCTTCATATGTAAAGAGTGCTTAGTAATATGTGACTTATATCTGGGTAAAATATTGCTTCTAATAAAGATTATACCATTGACGTGGATTTCAGACTTAACCGACATTTAAAAAAAGGTTGTATCTTCCCTACTGAGAAGAAAATCAGAATTAACACTTGACAAAACAGCAATCCCAAATATTTTTCCTTGGTATCAGTAATTATGTTTGTACAAGAAAATTAAGTGAGCTGGGAACTGTGGTCTGGCCTTGAAGTTGCATGGCACAGCACAGCTCAGTATTCAGATGAAATCTCCTGCCCACTGGAACAGGATGACCATACCCAAACTGCCTTTTTGGAAAGGTCTTTGGCCCAGGCTATTCCTCAGACCTTTCTTGGCTACTGTCTGGAAGAGTACTAGCTTGCACATGCTAAAATCACAGCTGAATCTGTACGAACAATACAAAAATATGGACAGTACCAACACAGTGCTCAAGTTCATGCCCTGACTTTAATTTCACTGTGTAGCCACTCACTGCACAAAGCACAGGATACAGACAGTTGAATGACTACCTGTTCAACATCGTACCTAAAAATGGAACTTTCTCTGGTAGGGTCAGCATGCAGACAGGGCTGCTTTTCCCTCTCATTAGCAGTCCTGTCAGTGTAATGACCATCTGTCTTCAGCTGTCCTGGCACAGATGTTACCACTGCAACAGTAACAGACCTCTACTCTCAGCATTGTGAAAATACAGAGATTTTTCTAGCTTTTCAACAGGGAAGACTGAGTTTTTGTTACTAAGCACGACCTTTGGTTTACATCTCCACAGCTTTCCAGGAAAGGAGTTCTGTAAATTGTGTCATACTTACAGACACTCCAGATGTTATGTGCACAAATCTGTTCCTTTATCAACACAGACAGGGGTGATAACATGGTAGTCACTGCTTTGCAGGCTTTGGAGGTAGTGGGAAACTTTCAACCCTGGGAAGCAGCAGAGGCAGAAAGCTGTGCTGATCATCCTAACAGTTCTAAAGACATGCAGCTGCAGCTGCCCTCTCTCTGTGTTGGTGTTCATCACCTTCAGCCCCAAATAGAGTATTCTTCCTCACCTAGAAGGATTGCAGTGCCAAACAGTGGTGGTGGTGGCAATGAATGAATGGAT